TATATTGTTAATTTTGTATTCATTACTAATCACTAGGTCTTTCATATCGTATTGTTCCGCCAATATGGATAACTTTTCAAAAGTGGAATTTAAATCCATTAAGGAATTCTTGGCTTTTACAAATGATAATAGATTTCGATATGGTTTCATCTTAATATTATTTTTTATGTCGTCATCCTTGGACAAATCTTTTGTGTTGATAATTATTTTATTTTCTTTCAAATCTATATAAGAACCACCGTAGATTGACCCATTTAATAATGAAATTAGCTGACGGTTTCCCTCAATTAAAGTTTTCTGTTGGGCCACTAAATTAGGAACTTTACTTTCAGGTACGTTCAAAAATTGTGATAATGGCGTGTACGGAGACGAACTAAGGGCATAGACTATTAAACGAATTTGTAATATTAATAAAATTAATGATAAATTTAGTATCTCATGTCGTTTATGTTTTCAATAATTCTTACTATTGTATTTGAAATGGCAGAGTTGAAACTTGTAGATATTAATAAAGAAATTTGTGGCATATGTACTATTGGATTATCGCTCATTTTCGAAAAATATTTCCGTGGCACATAATAATTTAGCCATTTCTTTGTAGATGCATATTGTTAATAAATTGTCATTCTGTGTGATGTCGAGAAAATGGAAATAGTTTATGGGGACATCACATTGGCACTAATCTAACCATTATAATAGAATCATTATAAAAAAAGATCTAATTTAGGATATAGATTGAAGTCAAAAATTAGGTTAGGCAGTGAATAATTTATATCAAATTTTCTCAGGGTTATCATTTCGTTCGTTAGTTATAAATATATATTTTTAGCAAATTGTCACCTGTGTGATGTCGGGTAAGTGACATATCGGGCAAATAGCTTTCGGGAAATCGTACCGCAACCGATTTAAGTCGATTGGAATTTCTAAGGTTAGGGTTGGGAATTTTAGTATAATTATTCTGTTCTAATCTAAATGGATTCAGATGATTCCATTCCCACTTACAATATATATATGTATGTATCCGACATTCCATACCCTATAAGAAAACTTTACACTTGAGTGTACATGTCAGCACTACCCGGGTCACCCGCGGGTGGGTGGGTCACCCGGGTTTAGTTATAACAACCCGGGTTCCAACCCACGGTCAACCCGTGGGTTGACTGTGGATGCTGTTACGACCAGGGAGAGACTTTCTTTACCAATACCAATTTACTCAGGGTCATAAACATTAAAGATGAGGAACCAAGTATTTATTGTGTATATGCAAGACACTGAAATGCACTAAAAAATATAAGCGATACAAGTAAGTATCTTCCTAGCCAGTGTACCAGGTACACAATAATCCTTAAAATATCCCATGCCCCAATTAAACCAAAGAAGTACTTCCTAGAATCCTCATTACTATTTACAAGAATATCTATCTCACATTAGCTATATACTATTTACGCTATTGTAGTATAACAATACAAAAGTCTAATTAAAGTAACCTGTATACTAAACTATAAGGTTACTCAAAAAGCTTATTTGCCAATGTCATGTTATTTTGCGTAACAGTGCATAGGGAGACATTCGTATGATTGGTTGATGTGAATCAATTGCCCGTATAATTTAAAGTACTTTTGGAAATGTAACGTTTCACTAACAAAAAATCATTGTAAAACCCATTTCTAGCTTCTATATTCACTGTGCAAAAA